GCGACCAGCATGCAGACCACTACACCACGAAGGCACGCTAAGAAGGTGGGAGAAATACCTTATAAACTGGTCTCAGTTTTTCCATCACAGAAGTTCGGCTTTGCTACAGTAGCAAGCTTCAGTACTGGCTTATAGCTATTTCGTAACATTATTTGCATAAATTAAAATTTAAAAATATTTCCGTTTATTGAATTTTCTTGCTGGTTATTATTTTATAATTCTAAACTAAGAAAAATTTTTAAAATAACAAAAATGAGTAAATAATAACGTATTTAGAGCGTTTGGAAACTTACAAATTACTTGTGTGAAAATTCTTTATGCCAGTTGTAATAAAATTATAATTTAAAGAATGTTACACACTAGTTAATTGATGAAAGAATATTGCAAATGGTATTTAAGAGTACATAATCAACCTCGAATTGTTCTAATTTATTTATTAAGCGAAGTTTGAAATTAAATATCACGGTCTGTTTTTGTGGTATAGGAGTCAAACTATTTTAGATTTTTAAACATTAAGTAGCGGAACGAAGGAAGGTACACTACAGAGGGGAGATAAAAAAAGGACATTTCTATATCTCCCGTTCTACTGGGCCGATTCATGAAATTCAACTTGCGTTTTTCATTTCACGAAAGCACGACTTAGGATATTTATTAGATTTATGTATAGCATTTTCTAATACAGGTATTTTGACACAAAATCGGACTTCTCCTGAAATGACATGCCAACGGTTTTTTTCAAATTTCGATTCTACGATTCAAATTATGCCAAACTGCCAAGTTTTGTAAAAATCGCACGAGTAGATTTTTAAAAAATTAGCTCTCAAAATTTTAGCTCTTCAGTGTTAAGTGAATTTGGTATATATTTATTAATATCTCTTTTTTTTATTAAATTTGTTTGATTCTTTCTACATTTCGAAATTTAAGTTCAAATAAAATTCGCCCATTTGTTATGATTTTTTTAACTTGTATTTTTAAATAATGTTTATAAATTTTTTGAAAAACATTTTGAATTATTAATCTATAAAATTTTTACTATCATCTTAAAGCAGACGTATTTCTAAGCATACCTGTAAAAAATTACAGTTTTCTATTCAAAATTTCAGAATATATACGTGAATTTATATATTGGCGTGTTATGAAATTTGGCATATTGAAAGCGATTAAAATATCAAATGTGGTTTAGATACTTTGCTATTTATTAATATCTCTTTTTTTTATTAAACCTACTTGATTTTTCCTTTCATATTTCAAAATTTAGGTTCATTCCAAATAAAATTCGCCTATTTTTTAAGATTTATTTTTAAACTTTGTATTTTAAAATAATTTTTTATAAATTTTCCAAAAGAAAATTTGAATTATAACCTATAAAAGTTTTGCCATCATCTTAAAGTACATGTGTTTCTAAGCATACCTGCAAAAACTTGGAGTTTTTTATCCCGAATTTTCTAAGACATACGTGAATTTACATTTCGGCGCGTTTTGAAATTTGGAGTATTTATTATTAGGCATAATAACGAAAATGTGTTTTCGCATTTTCGTTAATATTGTCGAATTATTTCGTTAGTATCGAAATTGTGTTGTAAAAATTATTCAAAATTATGAACGATGACATTTTTTCCGCTCATTGACACTCGTGGACAGGTAAAAATTAAGAAATTCGCCAAGTGAATTTCTTAGTCCAAACAGGAAAAAATTCGCCAAGATAAATTTCAAAATTCCTCCATAAATTTCTTACCAAAAATTACAAAATTTAGTATCTAGGCATAATTTGAGTCGTAGGATCGAAATATGGAAAAAAATTGGTATGTTATTTCCGAAAGAGTCCGCTTTTGTGTCAAAATACCTATGTTAGAACAAAGGTATATATAAATCTAATATATATCCTATGTCGCGCTTTCGAGAAATAGAAAACGCAATTTGAATTTCATCAATTGGCCCAGTAGAACGGGAGATATAGAACTGTCCCCCTTTTTTTTTCCCCTTTCTTTCTTTTTTCTTCTTTTCTTTTCTTTTTTTTTTTTCGCAGTGTACAAAAAGTTAGATTTCGGAATTTTTATAATGTTGGTATCTCTAAGTCAAAATATAAATATCTGCGTAACTTAAAACATTTTTGTATTTGGACTATATCTACGGCCAATGGTTGCAAAAATAAGGGGCACGTAAGAAGTTTGTTGAAGCGGTAAATACAAATCGCCCTATATAAATCCAGCTCTCTATATATAGAGAGAACGAGAGTCCTGGATTCATAGGGCGTTTTTAAATTCGAGTTACTAACGGGTTTTTAATTTTGACTGAATTTTGAGGGAAAATATTAGCTTTCAGTTTAAACACTGATTGGCTGACACTTGGAAAATATAAGGCGTTCGTTTTATGCCAAAAGAAGTTTTTTTTATTTTATTGCAGATCAATAAGAAAATTTTATGGAAAAGAATTAGGTTTAGATTATTTGAATATAGCAAAGCAATCCAGGTCTACCTGTTTTAGGAAAAGGATGCTTTCACGTAGTACGTTCTAAGGGAAGTTGGCTAGTATTCATGTTACACATGGGGAAAGCCACTAAAAACCAATTAATTAATCGTTTGATTGGAATACAACTTAAGTCCTCTCAACATTCAGCAATCTTAATCACATGACCACTGGGGGCTTGAGAAAGTCAACTAATTATTATAGAGAATTTATTATTTATTTTTATTTAGAGCGGTAATAAGATAATTTCTCTGTTCCTCTAAGAACCTTGTTTTAAAACAGACCGTATGCTTTGCTGGAATAGCAGAATAAATAAATAATAGTTTAATTATTTTTTTTATTTACTATGCAATATTTATGTAAAGTTTGTATGTCCTATCATCGCATTTTCTCGAAAATTGATTTAATAGTGTTTTGCATGTTGTCTTCTTTTATCAGATATCTTCTGTTACTGTTTTTTATACAATTATAATTTTCATTATTTTACTCTCTCATTATAACACGAGTTGTATTGAAAAATTAAACCCCTATTACAAAGCCATCTGTATTATTAAAAATAAAGAGAGAAAAAATGAATACAATAAAACAGCACAGAAAGGGAAAACAAGCCATACTAAATTTAGCCCCAAAAAGTACTATGTGTTTCAAACAGTTTAATTTAGAGAATGAAGTCATTCGGTCCCGTGGATTGAATTAATAATCAAAACAAAAATGAATACGGTGTAAATAACGGAAGCATTAACATCTTAATATAATTAGAAATGAAGAAATTAAGAACTATTAAAGAAAAATTATCATTAAAGAATAATATTTAGATAGGAGTCAGCACAGAACAGAAGATTAATGGGTGAATATTTCATTTATTTCTATGATTGAGGAATTTACTCTTAACTGATGATTACAGTATTTAAAAACTCTGGATTAAGTACGATTAAATTACGTATTTGGCTGGAGATAAGAAACTACCAAATACTATGACATCATCTGCTATCAGATATGTTATCCCAGACATTTTTCTTTTCATTTTTTTTTTATAATACCCGAAGACAATTTTGATTAACTCTAATGGTTTGAGATAATCATTTTTCAATTGTTCTGCAATCAGCAAACTTAAAATTGTTTTAGGCCGGAACTATTTAATCCTCTAGTACATCAGAAGTCCACCGTATTTGCATAGGAGATAAAATTATGCACTCTTGATTTAATATTAAAGTTTAAAAGCATATCTTATGTATTTTACTTAATGAATTATAAAAATGTGAAGACAAAATGCAATATATAATTAAATAAAAAAAGATAACATGTAATAAATAATTAAGTAAAAAGGAAAAGGGCAAAATGCAATAAATAATTAAGTAAAAAGAAAAAGGACAAAATGCAATAAATAATTAAGTAAAAAGAAAAAGGACAAAATGCAATAAATAATTAAGTAAAGAGAAAAAGGGCAAAAAATAATATGCTAAAGTAAATACATATTTATATTAGATGTATGAACCAAAAGCATACCATATATGTATGCGTCCTAAGATTTAATTTTAAAGAAATCTGTCCAAAATTTTGAGCTACGTTTTAGCTATTGATTTTTTAATAGGATTTATTTGTTTGAAAATGACACTCTCGGTACAATGCAAATTTTAATCTTAACAGCGTTTCTTCTCAGGCAACTACCCTTGTTCTCAGCTTCTTAATGCTGAAAAAATATCTTTGATTGTAATATGATTTATTATATTGCTAAGTGAGTCATATCAGGATAGAGCTATCAATTTCAGTTTTAAGAAGCACCTGCGTATTATCGAAAATCACGATAAATTAATTCACTTTGTAGATGAACAATGTTGCATTACTTCTAAGGTTTCACAGTGTAGATTTTTTTTACTCTGTCAGAACATTTTTATACTCTTTTCCGGAGACAGGAATACTTAGGAATCATTTGCGTCATCGCTGGGATTTGAATCAGGGATTTTCCTAATTACTACTGAACATGCTAACGGCTTACACCCAAATAGTTCACGAGGAAAAATGTGATAATTTGAAACATTCTGCTTCACTTGAACAGCAACTAGGGAGAGATGCGGCACTCAGTTGACCAAATATACGCGCGACATTTTATAACCCATATTTCACTTCGAGAGCAAACGTAGAGGATTTTTACATTTTTGTTTCGAAGAAAGAAAAACCTGAGAAATTAATTATGATTTCTCGGGGATTAGAAAACACGCATCTTTTAATTGCGTTGCTGGCTGAACATGCTAACTTGTTGAATTACAAGAACACGCATGCGATAAGATCTTGTAGATACATTAGATTATTTCAAAGATGTGAAAAATGAGCAATGTCGCGTGCTGACCACTACACCACAAAGGCACGCTAAGAAGGCGGGAGAAATACCTTATAACCTAATATACCCCAAATTATCATACTAACTGCTAAAATAAACCCATTTCCCTTTTTTAATTTGCACGGATAATTTTGAAACTACTCAAAACCACATCCAAAATAAATAAACAAGTGCACAAATTGCGATCATAACATACCATAGACGCTTTCATATTGGCAAAAGAAGAAAGTGCGAAAAATCCCAAAACTCTACAAATACGTTAGAGCACTGCAAACTCTGCTAATGAATTCTATTCGGTCGAAGCTATCTCTTTATATACCTCCAAGTCACTCTATGATAATACCCATTCCGTAGAAAGTATCCAACCCAAATACAAAAAACAAGCTTTGGCTGACAAAAGATCGGTGGAAAAACATTTGAAAAGATACAAATTAAGGAGTTACAGCAATCAGGTTCAGCTTGGTCTGAAACCAAGGTCGTGGAGTTTTACATTTTGATATGCTTAACAACTGCAGTCCCTCTTTTGTCAGCACAGTTACCTTTTAACGCTGGTATTATTCATTTTTCTTTCGCGTTCTTTTCCTGTAGTATTTGCTTTCTATACAAAATGTGCTGGAAACAAAAGGCAGCGAGAGGTAAAAAAAACTTCGCAACGGAAATACGAGTAGTTAAAATCTAAAATGATGGTCACGTAGAATATTTTGCTGTTGTTTGCTAAATTACTTTTATGTTCTCTTGGATGTCGGGGGAGTTTGTGCCATGTTAATGCCGTTGGTTTTTGTTGGCTTGATTTCGATGAAAGAATGTTGGTTGTTTTAGGTTGGATGTTTAAGGAAATTAGAACGCATAGTCAAATTTACATTCGAAAGCAGTTACCAATACGTAACATTTCGATCGGGTCATGCAGAACTGAGTTTAAGAATTAGGTGCTTTAGAATAAGGTTATTTAATTTAATCCGGCGAGATACATATTTATTTCGTATATTGAAAACTTGCGCAAGGAAAGAAAGAATTAAATTATCCCTTATACTGCGAATTAATCACTTTATATATGGATATTACGGATTACTTATTGCCGATATTAAGGGTGTTATTATTACTTTTTGGATATTACGCTTATGTTGTTTAAAATTACTGTAAATAACGGAGTTTTGGAACTATGCATGTAGTAATACAATAAATCAAATTATCTCGAAGAAGAGAAAAGTACATTCAAAAGAGGCGGAGAATGAGATCGGGGTAGTGTGTAATAAAACTGCAAGACAAAGAAAAATGTTTTTCTTCAACAAGGCATAGAAAGCCATGACCAGGTAGGGGGTAGTAGGTAAAAACTAAAAATGCATATTCCAAAATCGTGAAAATATCCAAGATCGTACGTTGAAATTCACAAAAATATATGGACTGCTGAAAATTTCGGAAAATTTATTTAGTTTAGTATATAAATCATGTACATGATTTACATTTATATACCTACTATCGACGTGCTTTAGAAAAAGTTTTTCATATATTATATCCAAGGAACAGATATTCATTTAAACCTATAAGTTATTAAAAGTTATATATATATATATATATATAACTTTTAATTATACATATATATATTGGTCTTTGTGAAACATTAGTTCTAAATTTCATACTTTATGTCTTTAATGATAATTTTTTCAGCAGCTTACAGCGAGAAAATACTAGGCATTTTTATATTTTGTTTTTAAAAAAAATGTTTTTGTATTATATATATATATCTATCTACCGTTCAATGAACTATAATTATATATATATGTAATGTTTTCAGTTATTCCATCACATCGTGGGCGAATGGTGAGGCTATTCCATTACACGTTCTGGCAGATGGTTGACGAAGCTGGGATGATTGAAGTACGGAGAAAAATGACGACTCAGGACTTTTCACTTTTAGCAGCAAGCATATCTTTATTTTAATTTATAGCAGATGACTTTTTCCAGATGAAGTTAATCAAATAACTTATTCAGTAATTGAACTATTAGATACGACTGACTTTAAACTTTAATACGTCATAACGTTCTAACAAAGAAAGAGGAGCATAGCGGAAGCGTTAGCAGGACGAAGGCGAGAAGGCATCTGTTTAGGAGACCTTATGACGCAGCATTTATATGAAAGGTTATGTAACAAAGTAGCTTCTAGAAAAATGTAGAAAAACTTATGACGCAGCATTTATATGAGGAGGTTATGTAATGGGTGCGAATGTTCTAGAAGGTACTGGCTTAGGGGAAGATCCTGAATTGCAGAAAATTAATTAAAGGTTGCTGGTTCGCAAAGAGCATAGCCATCGTATTTTTTTTTATATTTTACACATATATATATATATATTATAGTTCAGTATAGTTCATTGAACGGAAATTGTTTTGTTCCCCTTGAAAAGTCAACTAATTTCCGATCAATGGCAATGAGTACTTGCATTTAATTTAATTACTTGCTTTTAATTTATTTCTTTTTACAACTGAAATTTTGTTATTCATGATTTAATTCAAGTCCCCGTTAAACATTTTTAACAATTTACATTCAAGTTACTTTAAAACAATTTTCGAAATTGAACTTACTGACTATGGATTCACTCTTTTAAGATAATTCTACTAAAATTAATCTTAGGAGATAATATAATCAATATTTCTTTAGTAAATATATATATATAAAAAAGAAAATTCCTAGTTCGTACGCTAAAAGTTGCTTTTTTGACCACATAGGTCTTTCATAGTTTGTTCTCTTTTCCTTATATAATAAATATATGTAATAATAAAATCACAAGAAAAAGGAAAAGACAGAACACTGTAGATGCGTGATTAGATCCATATTGAAGAAGAATTTTGATTGCGTAGTATTTAAGAACTTGGCAGTCGAGGCAGTTTTAATTCCATTTTTATTTCCAGTTGATATTTGTGGCCACAATCACTTGGCACTCTAGTCCGTGCCTTTCCACAGAAGATTTACATTTTGATATTTTTTGAGATAGAAAGCAAGCCAGCGAAATTACATCTTAGCACAGCAACAGAGCAAAAGCTGAAGTGCGTATTTATGAAAGATGGAGGCACGCGAAGAGAAACGTTTTGGTTTACAATTCGGTGATTGGTCGAGAGGGATCTGCATTATGGGTTAAGTAAGATCGCATGATTAATTTGAATGACGCAATTTAGACTTAAGCGCTATTTTTAGGACAGATAGAGGAAGTTCTCAAATGAAATAGAAAATAATGGAAGTTATAGTGAATTAAGTTTAGAAGTTTGCTTTCATATTTTTTATCTTACATATATATATAGCTCCTTTTCTAAATTCTCTATAGTCTTTCCCATTTCTTGAATTTTTTTATACTTATAAAATTGGATTGAAATGCGTTATTTCTTTCGAAAGAAGTACCTAAGAATAGTTAAAAAGTTCACTGTTAAATATACCTTTTAAATAATTTCTTCATTTTGATGCAAGCATGTTTTATTCAAGTATCCACAATCCCATTTACTGCCAACTTTTACTTTTATTTTATAGGGGGAACGGAGCTTTATAATCCTGCTTTAACTCTTAGTACCTTCCTTAAAGTTGTTGCTTATTCGTTCCATACAATAAATAAAGTTTAAAATTAAAATTACAAAACAAAATTCAAAATAATTGGGTATTTTTTCCTTAAATAAATTTTACGTTATTTCAAATAATGTTTAAATTAGTTAATTTCTAACAATATATTAAAAAACAAAATGGCATTTTTGATGCCTTTTATCACATAAAACTTTTACCTAGATTTCACAGCTGCTTTAAATAATATTTGTTGAAAATTTAATAAAATTAGTAAAAGCTAAAATGCACATTAGACAATAACAATTAACACTGCTAGCAGTTTCTAACTGGTGAAAGTTGGCCTTTATTCGCTCTGATTTAAAACGAAGAAGGGAAATTGCAAATATGTAAAGTGATGGATCAACTGAGGGTATTTTAGAGCATTCCAAACCCGTAAGTCTTTTATGCTATATCAGGCGTCGGCAATCTATGGCACGTGTGCCAGATTTGGCACGGGGTACAGTTTTCAGTGGCACTCTACACCACTCTTCAAAATTATCAGGCAAAGATAAATCGCCCTGTCTATCCTCTCAGTGCTGTCAGGAGAGTTTAATTGTCATAATTTCATCGCAGCGCTTAATTTTTGTAAAGAACACTGTTGTTAAAATGGTTAATTTCATAGTGTTTCGTTCTTCATTGGTACACAGGCAATTTAAATCAATTTTAGAAGAAATGAGAAGCGAATATGTGGATCTTCCTTTATACAGCCATGTTTATTGGCTTGCATAAGTTTGTGTCATGCATGGAACAATTAAAGTTTTTCTTTATGAGAAGAATCAACATTTTCCCGACATGAAAGATAAATGTGTCTTAATTAATGAAAGATAAAGAATAGTTATGCAAACTGATGTTTCTGACTGATATAACTAAACACTTTAGTGAACTAAGGATTACAAGGAAAGGGTTAAGCAATGCTTGAAATTTTTCAATATTGGAAATACTTTGCTACAAAATTAAATACGATTTTCCGTTTCTAAAAATACCTTCCAAATGTAAAGCACTTGCAGATACATCGAGCTTAGATAAAAATGAACTACAAACTCATGCTGAAGTACTTAAGGAGGAATTTTTCAAATAATGCAAAGATTCTGAAGCTTGCATGCCTACATTTTCCTTCCTAATGAAACCAGGTTTCGTAGACCATCAATAATACCATCCGATTTGTCAATTTTTGCAGAAGTTGATAGTTTTGAAATCGAACTTATTGAACTAACATCTTCAGAATTATGGAAAGCAAAACTTATGGAATTACGAAAAAAATCTGGAAGATAGTTCTAATGATAAATCGACAGCTATTTTAAATTGCTGAATATCAGTGTCGGACAGATTTAATTGAAGAAAATTGCATGTGCTCTGCTTTCAGCTTTTGGTTTTACATATCTATGTGAAAAATCTTTTCTTAGATGAAAAAGAAGTTGTTTAGCAACTGAATGTTCAGAATCATGTGTCGATTTGAAAGTCACACATTATACACCTGATATTGCGATATTAAGTAGTGCGGTACAAGGATAAGTTTCACATTAAAACTATTATTTTTTATTTAACTATATTGAAGGACTACTTATATTTTATGTTGTTTATTTATTATTTTAATAAATATGTTTAAAAGATACATAATACATGTATAATTTTAATTTTTTATTTATGTTGAAGGAATAGTTATATTTTATGTTTTTAATTTTTATGCTAAGAAATATCTTTAAATGATGCATAGTTAATACATAATAAAATTCTAAATCTGTATTCTTGT